CTGAGATCTGAGGATCATGGTTCAAAGCCAGCCCAGACAAAGAAAGTCTGTGAGACTCTTATCTCCAGTAAACCACTAGAAAACTGGAAGTGGTGCTGTGGCCCAAGTGGTAGAGGACACACCTTGAGCTGAAGAGTGCAGGGACAGCGCCCAAGCCCAGAATTCAAGCCCCACAACTGACCAAAATAAAATAAAATTAAAAATAAAAATTAAAAAAATAAAGAAAATTCCATTATATATATATATATATATATATCACATTTTCTTCATCCATTCATCTACTGAGGGGCATCTGGCTTGGTTCCATATCTTAGGTATGGTGAATAATACTTGGATAAACATAGCTTGTCCAGCTCTCTTGGGTAGGCTGTTCCACAGGGTAGCCTACTTTTTTTTTTGTCGGTCGTGGGACCTGAACTCTGTCCCTCACTTCTTCAGCTCAAGGCTATTGCTCTACCATTTGAGCTACATCGCTTCCAGCTTTTTCTGTTTATGTGATGCTGAGGAATCGAACCCAGAGTCTCATGCATACAAGGCAAGCACTCTACTTATGAGCCACCTTCCCAGCCCGGGGTTGCTTACTTTTAATGACTTACTTTTTACCTAGAACAGTGCCTGCCATTTAATAAGCACTTTATAAATAGTAGCCAAATAAATAAATGGAGGAATTGGAAACACAAGACCTGTATCGCTGAGTTTGAGTCCCCCCAATGGTGGTTCCATTCCTCATATCATCTTGATTTGCAGGCATGTTTGGGTCTGGGGTGTTTCACTTAGTTTATCTAAAACTCAATTTCCTCCTGTGAAACTGAGAGGAATAATAAATAGTGGCAAAGGCTACCTATTGGTGGTAACAATAAATAGCCAAGGGGCATGGCTCCCAGAATACACTGAGGGTTTTTTTTTAAATTTTTATTGTAAAGATGCTGTACAGAGTGGTTACAATTACACAAGTAAGGTATTGAGTGCATTTCTTTTCAAGCATTATTGTTTTACTCCTACTATCCCTTCCCTCCCCTACCTCTCCCACTCCCCCCCCCCCCAGGAAGTTGTAACGTTTATTTCCAACAAAGTGTCTTGTGAGTATCATTGTTGCAATGAGTCATCCTTTGTCCTTGTTTCACATTTTGTTATTCTCCTTCCCCTCCTCAAATTAGATAAATGTATATACAAAATGCAGGGTACCAAAATCAAATACAATGACAGCAGGGGATATATAGGGGGAAGAAGATGCACAAAAGAAACAAAAGAAAATCACAGAGTACATTAAAAAACACACAACAAAGAAAAACCTCTTGTGTCTATACCTTGGGGTTCATTTCACTTAACATCATCTTATATGTTATATGTACATAGTTTTTGAGCTTTTCTGCTCATCTGAGAAAATTATCTTAGATGTATACTAATTATTGCACATAAGGGAAAACATGGGACCCATATTTCTTTGGGCCTGGCTTGCTTCACTTAATATGATTTTTTTCCCAAGACTTTCCATTTCCTAACAAATGGGGTGGTGTCATTCTTTCTGATGGAAGCATAGAACTCATATATATATATATGTATGCATGTATGTATAGTATATTATGTATATATACATATGTGTGTGTGTGTGTGTGTGTGTGTGTGTACCACATTTTCTTGATCATTTCATCAACTGAGGGGAATCTGGGTTGGTCCCATGTCTTAGCTATAGTAAATAATGCTGCAATAAACATAGTTGTGCTGGTAGCTTTAGTATGGTCTTGTTTGTGATCTTTTGGGTATATGCCCAGAAGTAGGATTGCTGGATCATAGGGGAGCTCAATGTGGAGTCTTGAGGACACTCCATACTGTTTTCCAAGTGGTTGAACAAGTTTACACTCCCATTAACAACGCAGTAGTGTTTCCTTTTGTCCACATCCCCTCCAGCATCTGTTGTTACTAGATTTTTTGATTATAGCCATTCTAACTGGGGTGAGGTGGAATCTTAATGTTGTTTTGGTTTGCATTTCTTTTATGGCCAGAGAAGATGAGTATTTTTTTATGTGTCTATTGGCCATTCTTATTTCCTCTTTAGAGAAATCTCTGTTTAAGTCTTTAGCCCAATTATTAATAGGGTGGTTGTTTCTTTGAAGATTTGTTGTTGTGGGATTTAAGCTTTTGAGTTCTAAGTATATTTTAGATATAAAGTCCTTGTCTGTTGTATGGCTAGTGAATATCTTCTCCCAATCTGTGGGATTACACTGAGGGTTTCATTCACAGGTGTGAGCTAAGATGTCAAATGCTACCAGAAATTACTGTATGAAAAATCAAAGCTATGGAGGATGAGGAAATCCCAGATTTCTTGCCTTCTGACAACAGATTCTACACCAGGACTTTGTAATACTTTCGCAAAGCACAAACCAATTTCTCTTTTCCTTTTAAAATACTGATCTTTAGACATGGGTCGGGGGTGGAGGGGTGGTGGAGAGTGTAGGAGTGACAGGTCAGGTATCCTGTGTTGTAAATATATAGAATGTATATTCTCTGGGTGTGTAAAGTAGGCAGGGGTTGAATGCCCAGTAGTATTAGGGTGGTGGTGAATCACTCATCTGGCTTTTGTGTACTGTTTTCCATTATAGAAAATCAGATGCTATTTCACCACCATACCTGATGTCAAGTGAACATGTAATTCCAAGCTGCAGGGTAATTGTTGTCACAAAATATTCCACAAGAAATTTTTCCTGACATCTGTTTATCAACACTGTGAAAATTACACAAGAGAGGAGTGAAGTATTTTTTTAATTTAGGATAATTTCTAGCTGAAATATTAACTGTAATGAGTATGCTAGTATGAACCTTGATGCATCCATTTGGACATTTTCCATATCCCAAGTGTCTAAGCTAATACCAATTAAGGCATCACAGATTGCTTTTATCTTCTAGCATTATTATTTTCATGAATTAATTTTATCTTAAAAATCAGACCTCCTCCAAGTGAGAATAAATTTAAATATCTGAGGTATAAAAATGAAACTGAATGTCAGGACCCATACCTGACTATAACTTCAAATTCTGAAAATAAAGAACTGTGAAAATAATCCTAAAAGAATTAAAAATGAAGGAGTTGACTTTTCATTCACCTAATCATTGATTCCCTTTGCTGATTATGGAGAATACAAAAATCTAGCTTCCCCTTTCTAAAAGTACTTGTTACTTTCCTTCTTATATGCATTCATTCATTTGTTCTTTCATCTGTCCTTCTATAAATATATATCCATATTTAATACTTAATTTAATAACCATTAGGAATCATTGGACATCTTTCATGTTCCTGGATTATTGCTTAGTCCTCAGAAAACAAATAGTACCCTCTTTTACAATACCTCAAAGTGACAGAAATGAAGAGGTTATTAAATAATCATAATATAATGAAACATTTTAAAATAGTGTGTGAAACATCTTCTGGCTGGATGAATCATGAAGTTATGGCACATTTATTAGTGTTTGAAACAGGGCAGTGCTGACAAAGGTAAATGCACCCGGAATATGGCAACATGGAAGGGAATAGCTCGTATGACGAGTCATGAGTAGAGTCCTGAGTTGAGTTGAGAATCTGTGTTTCTGAGGAGGCCTTGCTGCTGGGTGGCTTGGGGGCTAAAAATGAAGGACTTTGTATATCATAATCAGGAATTTAGATTTCATTGTACTGTAGATGGCTTGTCTTAGATCATGGTGAAAAAGAGCAGGGAGGAACTTCAAAGTTCAGGGCAAGTCTGGAAGCAATTGCAGTTGTAGAAATAGAATAAGGCCTTTAAGAGAGTGACTAACAGAGACACAGAGCAGGAAGCAGATTTGAGAGAACACTAGAACTCAATTAGTGATAAAAATGTTATGCTATTTTTAAAATATTCAGTAGGGGGTGTATGGATTAAAAACCATTTCATCCCCCCCCCCAAACTCCCTGTTTTTGAACAATGTAAAGAAAGTAGAAGTAAACAGTTGTTATATTTATTTATCTGTTCCTTGTTTTTTTGACACAAAGCCCTTTTCAAAAGTACCAAATATCTTTTTTTTTATTATGATATGATTTGCCTTTCCTCCATGACTTTACTTTTCATTTATTCTACAAAAAAGCTCTGCTATTTATTTCTAATTACTATCTCTTCCCTCCATAAGATTTCTAGCATGCATTATGGCTATTCATATTTTCCTCAAATTACTATTCAAATATTTCAAATTTAAATAGCATGTTTCAATATTTCTGCAGTACTTTGAGAAAGAGAATATAAAGAAAACTTTTGAAAGTTTATATCTTAAAAAATGTCAAAAATTTAAACAGAACAAATGCTTTGGATCCCATTCAAACTGTGATGGGGGGTAACAGAATTGATAAGGAGTAGAAAGCAGTTGGAGTGAACAGTGAGCATCCATGCATGACTAGACCTAACCATTGCTAAAATGAGCTGATCTCATTTACATGCCTTAATGTGTGTACGATTCAAGTTTATGCCTTAGAAGATTATAAATTACTGTAGGCATGGATATTCAGACATGCCCAAGAATGGCTAAGAATGTAAATACTGAATCTCTACATTGTACACAATTTTATTCCCACGTTCCTATTCTTTTATGTGAAAATAACTATTTGTTGGTTTCTGTGTACTTCTCACTTGAATTTAATGAAACTTTTTCCTATGTGTGTGTGTGTGTGTGTGTGTGTGTATGTGTGTGTGTGTGCAGAATGCTTCTTAAAATATTTATGAGAAATGCTTACAATCTTTTTTTTCTTCAATTGCTTATAAAGCTGTTTGTTTTAGGTCTCAGTTATGAGTATGTGTTTCTCTGAAATTAAAAATCATAACAGGTGATAATATTCCAAGATAAACAGAGAGCTAACCTACTGCAAGGTTTGTTGGCAATGAAAGAAGTTACTATTTTGCTGTCCTTCTTTGCTTGCTGAAATGTTCCCTTTTCCCAAGGTTGCTTCCTGTAATAATCTTTTTGAACAGAGGAGTACCTGACATGTGTTTGTTCCTTAGGCAAACGTGTAAAACTCTTCAAGTTCGAATGGAGAAGTAGAAAGAGAAGGTTTCTGCTGTGCCCGATGGCAATTTTTGATTTTCCACATTGAAAAGTATTCAGGCTCCACGTTGGAGCACTAGTTGTGGCGAATCCTCTAGAGTTGGTCGGATTCTAAGGAAGGGACAGAAGTTTCCTTAAGAAGTAAAGATTCAAAACACCTCCAGAAATGAGTTCCTGTCTTGGTTTATTTCTCCCAGAGCAGCAGGTGTGTACACCATGTTAACAGGATTAACTGTGACCTACTATTTCTCATAGCTTCTATTAGTTCTAGGTGCATGACTTAAAGAGAAGACAATGAACTTGGTACAGCATTAGAGAACAGAATGCACAATACTGTCTTAGTAGTAAGTGAAGAAACCATGGGTTATCGTCAATAAAAAATGGGGAGGGTACCAGTATTTGCAGATAGGAGGTGCATCCAAACAACTGTGTTCCACAAAAAGTTAATATACTGTGATTGATAGACCTAATACTGCCATCTACAATGTCTCTGTAGTATATTGCCTTCCTGAGATCAGGAAACATGTAATAAAAAAGCCCGGTATATTCCTGGATCCTATCAGCATCCAGTTGGTTTATTATTTAGATACTAGCATGAACAGTGCTGAGGCATCAGTACTTTCATTTATCAAGACTGGGTCCTTACCTAACGGTCCATTTTTTATAGATATTGGAGTTACCTATATTAAATATTATATCATGTGTGCACCTAAGCTATCACAGTTAAATAGACTTAAAGGTTCACATTTCAATAATCTTTGGAAATTTAAGATTATGGAATTGCTATTATATTGTTAGAGAAGTCCAGGGAGGATATAGTTTAGAAGAAAATCAAAGCACATTGCATAGTGCTCATCACTGACTATAGTGCACAAGCTTAAGAAAATGGGTTTCAGTTTTTATAACATACAGAATGGGAATTTCTTTTGTCTTTTAAAGAATAACCACATATTGAATGGTCATTATTAAATTTAGTTGTCTGGAAGAAGGGAGGGATGGAGAGGAAGAGTATTTGTGCTGCTTCCAGCATTTTCCAAAAAAGTCTCAATATTGGTTTTCTGTTTACTCGAGTTACATCAAGTGCATTTAAAAGTTACAACAACCATATGATTCTTTTTGACCAGTATCTCAAGGAAAGATTCTTACTAAGAGCCCTTTGCATTTGTAACTCACACCAACCAGGAAGTTAAGAGAAATGCTCTTAGTAATCCTCAAGTGACTAAAAGAGATTGTCTTCTAAGTCTCAATTCTTCTTCTGCTCAAACCCAATTTATCATAAACTTGCTTTTAAGCACAAGTTTTGTAGCTTACTTTTTCTATCCTTCATCCTTAATGAAGCTGGAATTCTTGGAGAATTCAATTATAGACTAGATTTAAACTTTTTTTTTTTGGGGGGGGTCCGGTCGTGGGGCCTGAACTCTGGGCTTGGGTGCTGTCCCTTAGCTCTTCAGCTCAAGGCTAGCACTCTACCACTTGAGCCACAGCGCCACTTCCGGCTTTTTTCTTATGTGGTGCTGAGGAATCGAACCCAGGGCCTCGAGCATGCAAGGCAAGTGCTCTACCACTGAGCCACCTTCCCAGCCCCTAGATTTAAACTTTTAAAGTAAAATTTTCTACAGAAAGTAAATAAAAACTAACAATCAAACTATTCTTTTTCAAAGAGAGGTGAATCTCAAAAATAAAACTAATGCTGGGTGCTGATGGCTAATGCCTTTAATCTTAGCTATTCAGGAGGCTGAGATCTGAGGATCATAGTTCCAAGCCAGCCAGGGCAGGAAAGTCAATGAGATTTTTCTCTCCAAATAACGGAAGAAGAAGAAGAAGAGGAAGAGGAAGAAAAAAGAAGAAGAAGAGGAGGAGGAGGAAGAGGAGGAGGAGGAGGAGGAGGAGGAGGAGGAGGAGGAGGAAGAGGAAGAAGAAGAAGAAGAAGAAGACGAAGACGAAGAGAGGGAAGGAAGGAAGGAAGGAAGGAAGGAAGCAAGCAAGCAAGCAGCAGCAGCTGGAAGTGGAGCTCTGGTTCAAGTGGTAGAGTGTTATTCTTAAGCTGAGGAACAGTACGCAGGTCCTGAGTTCAAGCCCCAGGACTGGCACAGAAAACTACATAGAACAAATATCAAATTTAGTAGATACATTATATTGCAACCTAATTTAAAACTCAACTATGTATAAAAGTGTTTGAAAAATGCTCATTAATAGAATTTGTATCTATAAATCTACTTGTATTTTCTTCAGACATTTAAAATGCTTACTTTCATCCAGGAGCTAGTGGCTCACACCTGTGATCCTGTCTACTCAGGAGGTTGGGATCTGAGGATTATGGTTCAAAACCAGCCCAGGCAGGAAAGTCCATGATACTCTTCACTCCAAAAACCAGAACACCAGAAGAGGAGCTGTGGCTCAACATGGTAGCGTCTAGCCTTGAACAAAAAAGCTGAGGGACAGTGCTCAAGACTGATTAAAAAAAATTGAATCAAATAAAAGGATTACTTTCCTGTCTTAAGGATTTTTGTTTATGTTTTCAAAAGTTTTGTCTTTATTCTGAATATTGCTGCCTTTTACCATTGTCTTAAATGGTTATTGAGAGTTTCCTTCCTATATTTTTTCTTTTTTAATAGTTTTTTTTCATCTACAGCAAACCAAAAGTGCATTGCTAGAGGGCCCGGGGAAAAGAAGGAAGTGTTGTGTCTTAATAAATTCTGTAAAATCTCAGCGGAACTTATTAGCTACCCAAAGACAGAGCAGAGAGTTCTTTGTTTTGCTAACTGTGAATGTCACTCACACAGAATCATGTCTGTTTCTGAGTGTATGATGAGCATAAATGATGTTGTCACCATCATCTGCTTCCATGAGTCATGTAGGAGAGTTCATGGCAGGCATACTGTACAGCTTTCAACGTTCCAGGAAATAATACAGACCCATCTGTTCCAAAGATTCAGCTCCAGCGAAGATCCTCGTTTCCACAACCCAGGAAGCCCAAAGCCAGATGCTGTATTTGTGTTAAGAACTCAATAGTTTCTGCATTCTAATACAATGATTAGGTATGTTAGAAAAATGACGTCTCCTGAGTGGTTATAGCACTGTTGAATTTAGAGTGATCAGGAAAAATCTTTTCCCATTTGAAAGTAGTGTTTTCTAAGGAAGAGTTGTGGGAAGAACGGAATTTAAAAGAAGTTCTCTAAGTCCAACTGACTAGCTTGGAAGGTAAATGTAGAGATTCAGAGAGTTTCTAGTCTGGGGAGGCAATACTTGAGTTTGAACTCAGGGTTTTATGCTTGCCAGGCAGGCACTCCATTCTGGAGCCACACTTTCAGCCTACCAAAGAGTAACTTGTCCAGTGTTCTAAATCTGGTAGGCAGACACCCTGGTATGAAACTCTGGTCCCCTGAGTAGTAGCGTAATGCACCCTCTCAGACCTGTCTGGTGCTCAGATTCTCTTCTAGAAGCACAGCAAGATTATATGCCAAGGCCAGGGCGTCTTTGCTTTGTCTTCTTCTACAGTGGAACTCACACTGACTTATACCTAATGGTGATCAGTTCACCACAGGAATGTCTTCCTGTTGTTTGGGAACGAGACGACCTTTCCACTCACCTTAGGCTGTGACATTTTCCAAGAGTTTATAAAACAGATAACTGAATAGTTCAAGGTCATTTAGGACACATGCGGATCCTTGCCCAAGAGTTAAACAGATCGCAAATATTAACATAAATATTTATGGCAATCTGATATCATAAATTGTTTTGGAAGGAGAATTAAACAGTTGCATGAGAATGCAGTGGGTTTTATGGGGTATGGAAATTATATGCCTCACTGCAAAAGTAAAATATTGGCTTAACTTTTATGTAGATGAATGTAGTTATGAAGTTGATGGTATGATGCATACATTCTATTCTTAGTTCCCCATCTACATCTGAAAGCTGTCTGGCCAACTTGTTTGATTTCTATCCCGCATAGATCAGTGCCTTTCATTTTGTGATGTGCTTTGAGACAGGACAAATGTGTTCATGCACAGCTACAATCAAACTAACAGCAGCTTTTCTTTAGCTTAATTAAAAAATATGCGTCACTGAAGAATAATGTTTTAACTGCACATTAAGTTATACAAAAAATGACGTAAGAACCTCACATATGTAACCGTAACCCCTCTGTACATCACCTTGACAATGAAATTAAATTTTAAAAAAATGAAGTAAGAGCTTAATTCATGTGCTTGGAAGAGCTACATTAAGAAAATATATTTGCAGCAAACAACAAAATTATACACCAAGAAAGGAAGAAAAAATTGTTGAAATCAGTATTGCAGATTATGAAGTTACTCTGTTCATGTTTCCTTAATAGAGTGAGTTAAATCTGTTGAGTATTAAGCTTGAAATGGTGTCTATTTGTGATGCTGTAAAGTAACTGTATTATGAAGATTGGACACAATCTGCATTTAAACCTGCTTCCTTTCAGAAATATTAATATACTTCTTTGCTTCTAGTTGTTTAAATGAGCATATTCATTAGTCCAAAATAAATGTTACCCTAAGAACAGGTGTACTTTAGTTTAAGAAAAAACCTCTTTTGTTTAAAATGAAATTGATTGGAAAGCCCATGATGTATTATTTATTCTACTACTTGTGGATATATAACTCATTTTATATTCACCAGGACATAAATGTTGTTTGTTAGTTCCTCCTAACAAGATTTTAATGTCCATATTACAGAAGAGAATGTGTTATTTTGTAAATTAAGCCACTATAAGGTTCGCATTGATGTTGTGGAGATCTGGCAGTGATTTCACAAATTTGTGCAGGCTGAAAACTGAACAGCTGAGACTCGAAATAATCATGGAGAGCCCAATTAAAGAAAAACATATCAGAGGAGCCATCGACAGAGAATAAGGGAATTTGCATATTTACATTTCATTCTGACACAATCACAGCACATTTTTTTTTAGAGCCTAGATAAATTGCTGTGCTGATTTCCTTAATGTATGTCCTATGTGCAAAGTGTGATGGGAGGGGGCCAATGGGGGAAAGACAAAGAGTCTAGTAACACAGGCTCAGAGACGATGAGGGCTGAAACAGAATCCCATGCATTGTGATGGGGATAAAAATGCACTCGGGTGTGAACAGTGGTTGTTAACCTGAGCATCATTGCGAAATACATAGTATGGTCCTCAGTTGTATTTCTCAGCTCATATGGCCCAATGATGCACGAAAGGGT